CGTACTATGATTAGCGTACTATGATTAGCATACTATGATTAGCATACTATGATTAGCGTTCTATGATTAGCGTTCTATGGTTAGCATTCTATGGTTAGCGTTCTATGGTTAGCGTTCTATGGTTAGCGTTCTATGGTTAGCGTTCTATGGTTAGCGTTCTATGGTTAGCGCTCTATGGTTAGCGTTCTATGGTTAGCGCTCTATGGTTAGCATGCTGGGCCGTCTCTCCGCTCCTGTCTGTTCCACTCGCTGCATCTCAGTCCCAAAAGGAGCAGAGCAGTGACAGGCCGTTAGCAGAAGTCGGGGGGTTACGTTATCAACCAAAGAAAGTCATAGAGGGAGGAACGTGGAGGAGACTATTCATTATCCCATTAGCCTCCCTCCCCAGCCGTTATCCACACGCTAATGGGAGGAAGGCCTCGCTGTAAAGGCCACAAGAAGCAAGGGGCTCATTGCTTTGTGGGTTATTATCAAACACAACACACACACATATCTATTAATCAAACTAAAACCAGAAGTATGAAGGTGTAAGTATTAGTAAGTGTGAGTAAGGATTGGATCATTCACAAATAAAATAGGATATCTCTTGCTGTTGTGGCTGTTTACCTGAGAACAAAACCCGTAAAATACAAATATTATTAAAAACCGTTTTCTTTAAAGCTCCATTTTTTGTGGGATGAATAAAGGCCCGTCTTATCTTTTATTCCCCCCACAATGTCACTTTTAATTGGCTCTTTAAATAAAATGCTATTTCCAACATTAAAATACTATTAATATTACAAAATACCCTAATACTACTGTTATATTTTAATGGAAAAAAATAATTCTGTTTATATTGTGGCAGGTTTATCCACAAAGTTAGTTTTTATCATTCTTATTTCTGGATTTTATTTGACCACGTGTGATTTAACGGCTAGAAAAAACCAGGATGGGAAGGTGGTGGTGGTGGACTGTGAAGTAATTTGCGATAGGACAAAAATAAAAACAGAAGAGTAGCATTGCACTTGATCACATGGAAATCCGAGGTGTTATTCAGAGGCCAGAATAAAAGCGTTGTTTGGTGCTTGGTGTGGGCTGAAGCCTCAACAGCACTCATGTCTGCTGTAACTATGACAACCAAACTCTATTCTCCACAAGGGCCATGAGCGAGACCCAAATCGAAGGTGAGAAGCATGAGAAATCCCGGCAGTTTTATGGCACAGAAAAAAACTAAAAAAACAATGGCGGTAAAACAACATTAACATTAATAACAACATTATTTATCAATATTGATCTATATGTAACAGTTTTCAGCATCTATTTGTTTGTTTACCATCACTCACAACGTCCAGTTTACCGGATTGAACCTGATCTGCTGTGTTCATGTGGGCACGTAAACCGGATCCTACTGAGACAAGGCCAGCAGATGCATTTAGGAGCGCAGGAGTGAACGCAGATGAAGAGGTGGGGGTGAATAGGCCCAAGATTCAATTGTGTTTTTCTGTAATTCAATTTAAATATGAAACTAATACATGATATATATAGTTCTGTAGAAAAGGGGACATAAAAACATGGTGCAGTATAATCACACAGTTGGAAGGATGTAATTTTACTGGAGAAACTTTAAAGGCTGAAAATGTCTCACACAAAAAGTCAGTGTCCTTTCGAAATGTAACCTTTAAAAAATCCTCTGAGTTCTACTTTTCCCACTCGCACTGACACAAAATCCGATCAAAGTGAAAAGGCCACAGAATCCTTATCAGTTGAATTCATATTGCCACAAGTTCAGAGAGATATACAGTATAAATATAGACCGATAGTAATAATGGTCAAACATTGATCTGCAAAACAACAGTCTGTAGTTAGTGAATATCAGGGACAGCCACTTTTGAACAAATAAATAGAACTTTCAGACATGTCCTTCCTCGTTTCTGCCACAGTTCATCTGCACATCACCATCATCATCATCATCAGTGTCCAGACAGTCTATGGTCTATGCTCCAAACACATGCTGACTTTATAGAGACACATCAGGGGAGTCCACTGTAGCTTTCAAACTATGCAGTCATTTCTTTGCCAAATGATGTCGGTGTGTTTGCCATTAACTTAACTGGTGATGTATCGAGGGACGGGACAATTTATGCACAAAAGCTGCTGAATGAGTCGTTCCTGCGACGCACTGGGAGCGCGGCGGTGACTTTCACTCAACTCCTCCATTGATGACAGCGGACGTCAATAAATCATGTCCTAAAGTGGGAGCCAGAGCGCTGATCCAAAACCAGCTTTGTTCCAACGATCATTCACAATCACCATCGCAGTCAATGTCAGGCCTCACAGACACACGCAGACAGACGCAGACACACACAGACACACACACACACACACAGACACACGCAGACAGACAAAGACGATCGCAGACAGTCAAAGACGATCGCAGACAGTCAAAGACGATCGCAGACAGTCAAAGACGATCGCAGACAGTCAAAGACGATCGCAGGCAGTCAAAGACGATCGCAGGCGGACAAAGACGGACGCAGACGGACG